TTTTTACTCAGAAATGACTCTGACAGGTAAGATACTTCAAGCTTTTCTTTTCTGTTAACACTGAGGGTTGAACCTAGGGTCTTGCCTGTGGTAACCAAGCACCTATCTGTAAGCTGCATCTCTAACCCTTTTCTTACTTTTGAGATAAGGTCTCACTACATTGTCCAGGTTGGTCTTGAACTCACTCTGTAACCCAGAAAGGCCTTGAACTTTTAGTGTTCCTGCCTCAGCCTTGTGAGTAGCTGGAGTTACAGACTTCAACCCCTAAGCCCCGACAGACTAAATGACTGAGCGGCCAGCACCACTCTCTCCAGGTCTTCCCCAGAACATCCAGCTGAGCACTAATAACTATCGAGGTATCCGCTCCAAAAGGTGTTGACAACACCAACCAGGAAAACAGACAGGATGCCCAGGACCATTTGAGCTGCTAGGTGATCATGACAATTCCTTTCTTTTCTTTTTATCCAAAACTTAACAGTAAAGTGTACATAGCAAGGCTGGGTCACTTTTAATGTGTTTTATTAGATAGAGAAGTATCTTTTTAAAAAAAAAAAAAACAAAAAAACAACATTACCATTAAAGCAATTCTTTTGTCACTGCATCTTATTTGGTGTGCCTATGCATGTGCACATACATGCCACAACATACAAGTAAACATCGGAGAACGACTTCTGGGAGCCAGTGTCTCTCCACCAGGTGGGTTCCAGATGGCAAACTCAAGCTGTCACATGTGGCAGCAAGTGCCATCCTGCAGGCCCTCAAAGCAATTCTTTTGACCTAGGGCGTGTTACATTTCCTCAAAAAAGCAACAAGTCAACAAGTCTCTTCACTGAACCCCGATTAATATTTAAACTTCCTACTGATGCGTTCTTTTCTCTGCCCTTTATAATAAAATGACACTAACTCATCACTTTAAAATAACTTTTTCCTTACCTTGTTATCTATTCATATAGCCAACAACAGTATGAAACCAACAAAACCTGAACACCGCCTGCTACCTTCTCGGGGTGTTCAGCTGTCTGCAACAGCAGCTGATCAGTTCCCTAGCCACAGGCTGAACAAGGAAGACCTGGTTTTCAGGAAGAAAGGAGAGAGCACACTCTCAGGATGGTCCATGAGCTGGGTGTGATGCAATGAGACAAGAAATTGGAAGGCATGGCGGGCGGTGGTGGCGCACGCCTTTAATCCCAGCACTCGGGAGGCAGAGGCAGGCAGATCTCTGTGAGTTCAAGGCCAGCCTGGGCTACAGAGTGAGTTCCAGGACAGGCTCCAAAGCTACACAGAGAAACCCTGTCTCGAAAAAAAGAAAGAAAGAAAGAAATTGGGAGGCACACTTAGAAATCATTAGCATTCTGACCTCAGAGTCCAGTGCAAACATTAGTCTGTGGTCAGCTGGAAATGAAAATCAATCATTCTTTCATCTCAGAGTTTGTGAAAACACTGAACTAAATAAAGTGCCTGGCACCCGGCTGGACTGGAGTAAACTAGCAATATCGTCATTCCTTTTGTTAATTTTCCTTACTTTTCTAGCAAACTCTAGGGCATAAAATATTTCTGAATGCAAAAACTCACAAGCCACCCACTTGCCCCCAACTCCAAACAAAGCTCTTTTACAGAAAAGCGAAGTCAGCTGTCTCCTACTCCAATTTCATGAACCAGTAATCCATTCCCAAGAAAGAAAAGCAAGTTCTAGATTTTACAAGATGGCTAAAGAGGCATACAGTAGTTGAACTGCTGCAGTTAAATATAGAGTTCTGCCTGGCCCACAATCTAAGAATTTTGCCAAAATTGCCCATACGGGCCTTTATCCATCTCTTCAAGAAGGTTTCAAGGCTTTGGCCTCCTAACTGCACAGTTAGCACACACCAGTGACGATGCATGGACTGTGCTGGCTCTTTGATAAGCACAGTGCCACTGACATGCACACCATGGAAATGAGGACTAAGGCCTCCCCTCCCCCTCCTCTTCTGCATTAGGAATTTAACCTCGACTCTACCACTGGCCTTGAACTTACTTTGCAGCTCAATCAGGCCTTGAACTTTCAGTCAGTCTTCCTGCCTCAGTCTCCTGAGTAGCTGGGATTACAGGCCTGGTGCCCCTCTTCAAGACAATTACAGCAGGAGGAAAAAAAAACATTGTTAAGCCATACAACTAACAGCAGTGGAGCTGGGACTAACCTCTACTCCAGGCCCCCTGGCTTTGAGTTTACTATTTCCTTTCTGAGAAGACTCCCGTGAACTGACATTGTTTGCTGATGGGTGGGCTGCTTCCTTGTACCTCAGCTTACTCACTTCTTTCTTCCCCTTGCCTCCTTAAGTCCCGATTTCTCCATTTAAAATAGAGAAATATGAAGCCAGGCATTAGTGGTGCACACCTTTGATCCCAGGACTCAGGAGGCAGAGGCAGGCAGATCTCTAAGTTTGAGGCCAGCCTGAGCTACAGAGCAAGTTCCAGGACAGCCAGGGATACAAAGAGAAACCCTGTCTCCAAAAACAAAAAAAATTATAAAAAAAAAATAAATAAAATAAAAATAGAGAAATCTGGTTTGTTTTTTTTTTTTTACCTCATTATGAAGGAAACTACCAGTCTATCCTAATGTATGTGTGTGCATTTACACATCCACCTCTCTCCTACTATGTATACACACATCTACTAGTCTGTCCTAATACATGTGTGTGCACGCACGCACACAACTTCATCACCCAAATAACAAATGCTCGCTCCTTGCCATGTTGGCCCTAAGTGTGAGAAGACTTCCATGACTGCAGCAAGGAGAGGGAATCCTTTTCCCGGCACGCAGAGTTGAGACTGGTGTTAGGTTTCCTTCCTGCTTGTCTCAGCAAAGCGGCTCGGGTCCTGTTTTTCCAGAGCAATGCCCTGGACCTTGGCCAGTTTCTGGCCTTCCTGGTGGCGGGAAGGCCACACTGGGAAAGCCTGAGTTCTCCTTCCCTTCAGAACCCTTCGGATTCCTGCTTTGGATTTTAGGAATGGGTGTTTCTCCAAACAATTCCTTGTATGTGAGGTCCTGAGGCAAGGATTTTTATCAGTAGACCCTGCCCCTAGTCCACCCAAATGATAGCAGGCCTCAGGTTGCCAGCCATCCCCAACGGAAAGACCCAAAATCTGTGGCTGTGTGGTGTCAAATCAACAGGGAAAACCGTGTCTGCCTCCCTCCCCATTTTATAATCCATAGCCAAGCTGCTATGGCTTCCAAACGCCACTACCGCTTAAGCTACTCTGCTCGGACATCTTGGGTTTCACTGTGGTTCTCTTACGAAAGAACAGGGGCCCTCAAAGCCTCCTAAGACTTTTCCTCCTTGATGCTGTGGGTCAGTGCTGGTACCACCACCACCACCCCCAAAACTTATACTACTAAATCTATCTGCTCTAAGGAAATGGAGGGACAGAGGTACGCCATGGGGGTGGTAGCTGGGAGAGGATCATGCCTGGGAAGGAGAAGAGCCCAGGAGGCCTGTGCTGGATTACAGTGTCCGAGCAACAGCATACTCTTCACTAAGGGCTCTTATGACTTCTCACTTCAAGGGTTAATTTACAGGCAAGCTGAGACATCCGAAATTTCCCTTAAAGAGCAATTCAGGGCAGAACAATCGTTTGTACAGAACAGTGCCTTAACGGCTTCTTTCGTCTGTCTCCCTCTTTTGGGATGCTTGGGAGCAGGGACAATGTCCGCTCTGGGCCCCCAGCTCAATGCCTACATCCACAGCAGACATATTTTCACTTCGTAAACATTAGTGACATGAAGGACTAAGTTCAAAATCACTCTGTAAGCTTTGTAGAGACACATTCTGCCCCCATACCTGCTGTTGACTGTAATAAACAATCACAGTGTCTTTTTAATTCAGGGTGTTGGGTGGATGGTCCAAAGTGATTGGGCACAGCACAAGAAAGGAAGTTTGAATCTGAGCTCTTGTCTTGGCTCCACGAACTAACCAAGACTACGATCTTGGGGATGTCACTTTTTCCATCAGCTGAAGAAGTAGAGTGTCAGCTGCAGGTAAGTGTTCTTGACCCCTCTCAGAACAGGCCAACAGGTAGAGGAGTTAAGGAACTCCTTGCACACTTGAAAACGCTTTCCAAACTCAAATCTGTGTGCAGTCTGTAGAATGAGAAGCCACCGGGGACATATTCTTAAACAGACAAGATCTGTTGGAGGAGTCCCTCCTGATAGATGTCCTTTGAGTGGGAAGGAGGGAGATGCTGGGGAGCAGCAGAGATTGGTACCCAACCCACATACTGCATGCCCCACTGAGATGGACTTTGTCATTGGAAATTTGGCATGACCACAGAGATGATTCAGCAGATGTCTGAACTTTGGTTCAGGGGGCAGAACCAAGCTTACAGCCAGAGACAGAGGTACACAGAATGCTCCAGGGACGTGATTTAACAGATGTGTACTAAGAGAAAATAAGTGAGAAGCCATATGCCCAGTTAGAGTGCATTGTGAGCACAGGCTGAATGCTGGGTCCTCTCATGATAAAAAAATAATAATAATAATAATTCTGCGAGGGGATACTATCGGGATTAAATAGAATCTCACTGCTTTTAAGTGCCGTCTCGCCACCCTTTTCTGCCCTGCACTGTCTACCCAAAGAAGATCTGAGCAGCTCCGAATCCTGGCCGCCCCCCTCTGAAGGGCAATAACTAGAGTGTGAATCTGCAGCTAGCGAAGGAGCCGAAAGCTTGATTTGTTTTCAACGGTCCAGGGCACAGGCCACGTGCCAGGCACGGGGCTAAGTTCCGGGAGCACGCGACCAGAACTCTCCCTGGAGATAGGTAACGGCCCGCTAACTGCTACCCCACCCCCACCTCCTGGGAGCCAGCGAAGATCCGGGTAAACCGGGGCAGGCAGGGGTGCTTGGTACGGGCCCTGTGAGCGCGACGGGGAGTGGAGACGGCTGCCCCGCCGGGCTTGCAGAGGCGTGCGTGAGGCAGGGCTGGGTGGGTGGCTGCCTGGGTTCCCACCCTCCTTCCCCTTTTACCAGGCGAAGGTCCCCAGGTCCGTGCACCACCAGGGACAGGTTCTCGGCCTTTGCAGGAGCTGCCATGTCGCTTCCTGGCTCCGGGGTGTCGGCTGGACCCGGCGAGGCGCAGGTGGTTCTAAGGGCCCCACCGCCAAGGGTCTGGAGTAAGGGGCAAGGGCGGGCCCTGGACCTGGGCGGCGCCTGCTCGCGCCTGAACGCCTGGGGGCGGGGCCTCGGGGGGGCGGGACTTCGCGCGGACCCAGCAGCCCTGAGAAAGGAAAGCAGCCTCTGGAAGCCGCTGTCCGTCTGTGGCTGCAGGAGCCTGGGATGCCTCGTCTAAGGCCAGCACTGAGATCCTCCAACAGCAAGTTTAGGTATGAGGTGGAGCCCGGGTGTTTTGTGTCATTAACTGGAAGCGTGCTGCTGCAGGAGGGACGCCGAATCCGCCTTGAGAAACCCCCGCTCTGCGCTGCAGCCACTTTGGTTTCCCCGAGCATCCTGCAAAGGGCCTGTCACCAGCTCGAATGAAAGAAGGAATGAAGGAATGCATGGGTCACAGGGTCCTGATGCATCTGCATAAAGATGCTGTCGGGCGGAATTTGCAAGCCTTTCTCTTTAAAGGCTTTTTCGCTTTCCATTGTCAAGCGGATTTCAGCCCAGATTCTTCCCCAGTCAGGACAAACAGGTTTCCACTCTAGCGATGGAGCTTGCTGCTCCTCTCTTTAGATGTCAATGCTGGGGATTTCTTTCTTGTTTTTGCTTTTCGAGACGGGGTCTCTCTGTTGTAGCCTTGGTTGTCCTGGAACTCCCTCTGTAGACCAGGCTGGTCTGGAACTCACAGAGATCCGCCTGCCTCTGCCTCCCGAGTGCTGGGATTAAAGGCGTGTGCCACTACCGCCCGGTGATGCTGGGTGTTTCATTCCCTCACCATCCCTACTACCGACCCTGAAATCTCCAGGAGATTCTCTCCAGAGCTCCCAGCTCTTGACGTTGTCTCCATGTAACGATGGAGCGCAGCTTTAAATTCTTTAGCAGCATCCATTCCCTGGATGCACTAGAAGACCCACTGAGGCCAAGGTTTTATTTCTTGACTAGAACGTAGTGAGATGCTTAGCACAGCACAGGAGCTTAAAACAAAGTTGTGATGAAGATGGATGCTAAATAATGTCAGAAAGGAGAACCAAGGAGAGGTGGAGCTGTAGGAGTTGGTGTAAGGCTTAATAAAGAAACAGGATGGACTTTTTAACTTAGAAATTTATTTTGTGATTTTATGTGTATGAGTTTTTTGCCCGAGTATATGTATGTGCACGATGTGGGTGTACATTGTCCCTGGAGGTCATAAGAGGGCATTGGATACCCTGCATCTGGAATTACTGATGGTCGTGTGAGCTGTCATGTGGCTGCTGAAAATTAAATCCAGGTCCTCTAACAAGAGCAACAAGTGCTCTCAACTACTGAGCCACTCCAGGATGGATTTTTTAATTGAAAAGCTAACAAATTTCTAATCACATCGCTCCCCTCAAAACTACAGACTGAGTATCTGGCTGAGCTGCAAAACTTAGAAGATTTAAAAAGAAAAAATTTTTTAAAGAAGTCTTCATTCAGGTCCTTGCTACACACTCTTAGTCAATGGCAACCATTAATGCTCAACTCTGAGAGAACTGACCCACAGCCCAACACCTTCCTTTGGAACATTAACTTCAAGGTGGGTTTTTTTTTTTTCAATTCATGAATAAAGATATTGTGCTAATTCTGCTTCAGAAAATTTGCAAATTGTTTGTTTTACAAAGTCAACTTTTAAAAGCACAATTAGTCAAAGGGTCAATAAACTAGGCAGAAATCATTTTCTAAGAAGAGGAGGAGAAGAAGAAAGCCCCAAATGCCACTTTGTCATTTTATCCATAATTAAGAACAAAGGGACTTTGACTCACACCAGAGTCATAGTGTGGAATCTGCACTCCAGCTACATACTAACAAGTTCTGCTGATTGAACGGCTGCTGAGGGGCTTGTCTCTCACCTGTCTGCCAACAGTTACATGAGCAGTGTTAGCGCAGCGCTACAGTGGCAGGCACAGGCCATGTCTCTGCACACCACTCCTGTGTGCAGTCAGGCTTCCTCACCCTCATTTGAACAGATCTGCAGCTTTGGGGAGTTTCCCTCTTAAACGTATTGTCAATGGTCCAGTATGCAGCACCAAGCAAATCCTTGGTGTCTAAATAGTTTGCAGCTAGAATAAGCCTGAAGAATGTTCCCAAACTTGGTTGCTGTGGGATGGTCTGTATGTCAAATTGCTCTGATTGGTCAATAAATAAAACCCTGATTGGCCAGTGGCTAGGCAGGAAGTATAGGCAGGACTAACAGAGAGGAGAAAAGAAAGAACAGGAAGGCAGGAGGAGTCACTGCCAGCCACCGCCATGACAAGCAGGATGTGAAGATGCCGGTAAGCCACGAGCCACATGGCAAGGTATAGATTTATGGAAATGGATTAATTTAAGCTGTAAGAACAGTTAGCAAGAAGCCTGTCACGGCCATACAGTTTGTAAGCAATATAAGTCTCTGTGTTTACTTGGTTGGGTCTGAGCGGCTGTGGGACTGGCGGGTGACAAAGATTTGTCCTGACT